GGCAATAAAGTTATGGAATGAGCTCCCGACGTCAGTGTTCCCTCACTACTATTATAACATGGTCCTCTTCAAGAGAAGCTTAAAAAGTATTCCACGAAGGGCAGTGGCACGGCTGTATCAATGACATTGCTGATGTCCACAGGTGACCACTTAAAATCAGGTCGCGCGTCCGCTCGTCTGCCTTCAAAGGCAACAAAAAAAGGAGGATATAACCCACCAGTAGCCTTAGTACGAGTTTGAGCTCCCGAAAACTATCATAGTTTTCGTAATTGTAAATTATGTTACTATGTCCATTTTGGTGAAAAGTAACCAAATATACTCAAAATTTAAGAAGACGCAAATGATTTAATGATAGAATTTAAACACTGTTTATTTGTATTGAAACGAAAACAATAAAATCAGTACCCTTAGTACGAATGCGAGCTCACGAAAACTATCATAGTTTTCATAATTGTAAAACTCGTACTAAGGGTACTGATGATAAGCAACACTTATAGCCCATAAACGTTTACGATACCAGACTCACTTGCGCGTTGCGTACCCTAACCCCCCAGTCTATGTAGCCCTGCAACCTTTATCACCGACAGAAACATAACACCACAATACGGTGAGCTGGAGATTACTTCATTAGAGTGACGCTCCAATTCAAACAAAAATTGTGGAAGTTAAACAACTTTTACAAAGGAACGTCATTGGATGGGTGACTAAAATATGTGCTTGTAACAGCCTAAACTGAATAAATGATTTTGATTTTGATTGATTATTATCACGAGCTTCAGGAGCCATTCGTCTCAGCTGTATCTTTAGTCCAAGCAAGTCGCAAGGTGGCTGGCAGGAGCTGGATGCGAGTAGCCCAAAATAGATCTGAGTGGCGTGCAATTGGAGAGGCCTATGTCCAGCAGTGGACTAGGATAGGCTGTTGATGATGATGATGATGATGTATCTTTAGTCCATTAGTCTGAAAACATGTGCATCAGTAGAGTGGAGTTGACTTTAATAGGATTGTGATGCTTATGATATCTATCGAATTGATAACATTACGACCTCTAGCCAAATGGTTGTAGTCGGTAGCCGCAGGATCAATTAAAACGTGACAATTGTGTTTTATTAAACTCTAATGGCCTTGGATGATCAACTTTTGATTCCATAATTGTTGAAAGAAGGTTGTTTCCATAATTTGTATATTAACTTAATGGTTGTTCACCTCAAACGCCATGCAGTTCCTCATCTAGATTCGTTTACGGGTTGTGTTAATTAAGGGGGCGTGCCCACAGAAGCGGAGCTGGGTGGCCTTGAATTGAGCGGAGCAGTGTCAATAGGCAAATGTTTCCATTAAAGCTGCATGAAGATGAATCGTGCAGAGCGAAGTTGTGTATCTCGCTGAAGTTGTGCCGAGCGGAGCTGTGCAAGTGGAGATGGGTGAATTGGAGCTATGAAATGGAGATGAGCAAAGCGGAGCCGTGAATACATTTTATTTTCACTCGCTTAAAGATATTTTTTATTTTTATATCTTTTTCTTCTAGGTGATTTACAAAAAGGGTTCAAATTACGCCAGAAACATTTTCTCGTAAAATGCTACCAGACCATTATGACCCGCACTGTCATAAAATTTTCAAAACTCATGTACATACAATAGAACCAAAGCTTCTAAGGCTGGCCTTACACAGCCTGAATCAGAATCTGGATTCAATTGCGTTTAATCTATGGTTTGATCTCGCGAACGTCTTTAAATAAGTATAGGTAAAGTATCAACCAACTCATAGATCAGCGAGTCTATTCTGTAAAATTTACATGTGCTTGCTTCCGTTTGTGTGCGTTCGTCGTTGATAATGTCTGAAAAGGTGCATTTGGAATTCATATGCTAAATGTTCGTATTATAAATTCATCGCGTTTGTTCGTAGCATCAATCTGACATTATCATTTTTTTCATACAAGGCAACAAATTACCCCACTCCGCCTGATTGTAACTGTTCGTGGAGTTCAGTCGCGAAGATATAGATGATGCAGCAGAAGGTTTGTCGCTCCAGCCAGCCTCAACTTGCGGACTGAATCCAATCCCTTACACCGAAGAGCCCTGGAACTGAACCCTTAGTCATCTTCAGAAACACAGCACCATCCAAAGAGAGTGTCATTTTACTGTGGTCTTCTGTATGGTGGAAGTTGGTCCCCGTGACGAGCGAAAAAACCACTGTGCCCTACTTCTTTTGTTTATAATTCATGTGTGTGGCTTAGCATAATAACGCCTAGAAACCGTGTCTTAACCAAAACAAGCGCGGTAATGAGTGCTGAATCACTATCTTGTGTGCGTGAGTTGAATGTGATTACGCACACAAATACATGATTTTAGTGTTACCGTCACCAGCCACAAACCCACAAATTGGGGATCCGTGGTGTCTTGTTCTGCGATGCCAAAGTATTTGGCAAGATGAATATGATCATGTTCATGTATATTATTATATGCTATAACGGAAATAAAATTTCAAGGACAAAAATTGTACTTTACAGCCATTAATTAATAATAAAAAAAAATTATGGAGCTGACCACATCAATATATTACTTTCCCATAAATAAATACGAAATAGGAAAAGTATACAATAACAATATTTACCAATGAATTAATGTAAATATTGTCTGCATTTATTTTCCTACAACTAGTATTAACATTGAATTATAAAATTTTGTGTGTATAAATAATTAAGTTTATTTAAAACAATTTTGTTTTACAAGCGGCGCTCTACAACCGACGCTGGTGTTGAGCAGAATATTTTAGATGCCTGGGAGGAGTCAAGTGATGCTTTAGATGTCTTCTCTGATTTGTCCAAGACTGAAGAAGACATGAAACATTAATCAGAAAACTATGCCACTATGGATTTAAAGGTAGCACTCTGTATCTCATTGTGTCATATGTGAGCGATAGAATCCAGAGAGTTGGTATCAATAGCAAAAGATCTCCCGGATCGTTAGTAATGGCTGTTCTTCAGGGCTCTATTATTGGTCCTTTCTTGTTTTTAATTTATTTAAATGACCTACCTTACTTTGTAAGGCATAATCACGAGATAGTATCGTTTGCAGATGATACTTCACTTTTATTTAAAATCAAACGAAAGCAACCACTTATTGACGATGTGTATTTTTTCAGCACAAAATTCGATCGGACTGTTCAATCAATTTGCAATCTTAAGACTAGAGACTCTTTAAGAGAAAATGTTAAAGAAATCGATATAATGACTGTTGCTTCTCAGTTCATTTATGAAAGTTTAATGTATGTTCGAAAAAATATTACATTATTTCCTATAAATAGTGATAAGCACTCGCTTAATACTAGAAATAAAAGTAAATTAGCTGTACCAATTACAAGGCTCCAAAAAATCAATCATTAATTTAAAGGGCTTTGTGTACGCTTCTACAATAAAGTCCCTAGCAATATCCAAAAATAAGCGTCAATAAATGTAAAACTACTATAACTATTAAAAAAGTTCTTATTAATAAAGCCTATTATAACTTGTCTGATTATATTTCAGACATAAATGCTTGGGCTTAAACTGTTCCAAACGTTCCGGCAGGCTGTTTCTATAATTATTATGAAGATGATATGATTTTGTATTAAGACCGTAACAATATAATATTTTGTTAATATTGTTACATAATTATTTAAGACTGATTTTTATTTCGCCAGTTTTTCTCCACAACTAAAATATGTCCTTAACAGGTGGTAGGGAAATAAATATGGACTATTCAAAAGAGTTGTATTGTGCATTCAATTTGAATAAAGATATTTTGACTTGACTTGTATGCGATTCCGTGTGTTCTGAATTAATAATATGAATCCAGATTCGGATTCAGACTGTGTAAAGCAAGCCTAATTTTGCGTTCTGCCAACTTCACAAAGATTATATTTTTGTCAAAAGATGTGGCTTGCTCGTTTTGCTACTACAAGAAGTAATTCGTAGTAGAACAGCATTGAACAGTGACTTATATGTCCGTAGCGAAATGCCCAAGACACATATTGTTTTACCAAATGTATGGGCTATAGCCCAGCTCCATAGTTCCTCGCAAAGCTTCAATAAGTAAAAAAAAAAACAGAAAAATATTTCTTTACGTATAGTATTATAGTTAAATTTAGACGGATATAGTCCCAAGGATCGACAAAGCAATATGGTTGCAAAAAAACCATTCCACCCTTCACAACCCCGCTCCGCCTCGCACAGCCACACTGAGCTAAACTTCGCCATGCAACGCACCGCACCGCTTTGCCTCGCTCAGCATGACAACGCTGCGCTCGCCACGTTAATACTGTTTCCACTAAAATAGAGTGGCGATGGGATACCATCTGTATTTTGAGCAATATAATTGGTATTTCTTTTTAAATCTCTCAATACTCAGCTCCGTACAACTCCGTTTCTGTGGAAACACAGCTTTACGTCCAATATCAGAACAACGTAAAGTCAAATCGTTTTGTAGGTCTACGCAAAATACAAAGGTAACTTTCTTAAAAAAAAAAACAAGTTTACACATAACTCTGGCCATAAACGCTACACATAATTTAATAAAATTAGCATAATATTATTATACTATACAAGAAGAACATTTTGTTTATTTTTAGTTTAATAATTTTGAAATAAAAAAATACTAGAAAAAGAACCACTCGGTGCGGGCATCGAGCAGCCAGAATTCGAATCTGCATCGTCCGCTATTCATGGGGTGGAGGGATAGCCGAAGGTGCAGGTTCGAATCCTGTTTGAGGCTTAGCAGAAAGTTGTTTAGTAAAAATATTTTTAAACAACATTTTAGCTGAAGGTTTAAAAACACGAATATTTTTAAATTTAATAAAAATACAGTGTTTTGGTTTATAAAGTTGTTGAAACATTTTTTTTGTCTGTGGTAACTGGCAACGATTTCCGTTGTAAACATTTTTAAAAGAACTTTTGTGAACTTGTAAAGTAAAAAGTAGCGTGTATAACCAGCGCAAAGAGGGGTTATTACTATTAAATCGACTTACCGACGTGGATTGTCAGGAACAAGACCGCCAGACGCAAACCCGACGCGGGGCCGCGCGGGGGCGTCGCCCGTCGCGTCATTGGACGATCGTCGAGGGCGGCGGGACTCACGGGTATAATAATATACAGCCTTCGAGACCCGACGAACAACACCGAACACGTAGGTTACTTTTCACGCGCAAACCTCTTCACGTTTCCCTTTTTAATTTCGTCGGCCGGCAGGCGACCGCAAGGCGTTCCTTTTTCGAATTTCCTACTTTTTTAATTAACCGCAGAGCCAGCGTCGTGTCTCTTTTCTTTTTTAAATAATGTTGCAAGCGCAAAATTCCTTTTTAAACTTATTTGCGGGTGCTGCTTATCTTTTTTTAAATCTGTTTAGGGCGCGCGTATACGACTGCGCTCATACGCGCACGGTTTACTATTGGCGGCCGGTTCACTTTCACTATCTTAGCTCTACCTTACGTCACCGTACTCTTCAAGCTAAGCTTTCACTCAGATCTATACACATCTTGCAGCATTCGATCGGTACTTACTTAATATGTTATTAACCTTATAGCTAAGTTATTGTCGCCGTTGCGAGGAAAGTCTGGTTTGTTTAATTAATTCTTCTTTTATTGTCATGGAGCTGTAAACATAAATAATTTGATAATTTAATCTTTTAGAAATCTGTAACTTCACTCACGGCTTGAATGACTACATTTTTATCATTTAATTTTATTTAAGAGTTTTTATAATATAATCTTGACAGTTATGTTTAAAAACAAAAAGTAGATTGATGCTTCGGAGTTTTGATGTGTGTATTTATTTTTATTGCGTACAATATTTTCATATCATTACGTAGCTTTGTGTAGATATTTTCTTAATAGATGTTAATTTAAAATTAAATATTTTTCAGATCGCAATAACATACAATTTGGGAACAATACAAGTATGTTACAAAAATGTATGAATAAGTGGTTGTAATTTCCTTGTGCAATGTACAGGAAATGAGCTAAGCAAGCATGCGAGTTAAAGTTAGCAGCACGAAATGCGGATTGAGCATAGAGTCAACATAGAAACTAAATTAATAACATACTCCATGGTTCAGTCACGAACATTGACATGTTATAGGTGATTTGTCCTTTATGCGGAATTCTTCATTTGTTTGCCTGTAGTAAATACATATTATAATAGTTTTTAATTGAATATAGTTCAACAATGCTATTAAATAGGGTTTAAATAAACGTATTCAAATATTGCAAAACCAACTAATAAAGTTTCTCATGTATAGTCATTGACATACTAGAGATTATAACAAAGAATGGCACACCAAAACTTTGATGTTTTGTTGAATTTTAGATAAAACTAATTGTATTTTACTAAGTCGATAAAATGATACATTATGTTAGAAAAAAATCCTATCCTTTAATGTCTTTAATAAACTGGCTGCATTTTCGTAGCAGAAGCTAACAGACAACAATCCAACTTTTTTTTCATATACCATTTGTAGAACCCAACTCTCTACAGAAGTTTGAAGAATCGCCATCAAAGAATAATAAAAAGACATTGTGTTCAGTATTATACTTATTATCAGTCTCTCTAATATATAAAATTCTCGTGTCACGGTGTGCGTAATTGAACTACTCCGCAACGGCTCGACCGATTTTCGTGAAATTTTATATACATATTCAGTAGGTCTGAGAATCGGACACATATTTTTCATCCCCCTAAATGTTAAGGGTGGTGTACATTTAAAATTTTTTTTTGGGATTTTTTTTTGTTTTTATTTTTTTATGATACATCATACAAGAATACATACAACCCTAAATTTTCACCCTTTTACCACCAACCCTTATTTTTTTAATGGTGGTAGGAAGTTCGCTGGGACAGCTAGTTTTCTTTATTTTAGTGTAAATGCAAGAGTGCCAAACATTGTGGGAGGGCCCAACATTAGTACAGGCTCCCCTAGTACTTATATAGTGCAACATAGTTAGATAGGTACCTAACATATAACAGTATATAAAATTTTATACATAGTAAAGGAAACCGAGGGCATATGGATATAGATCAGATTATATTTGCCTGTAATGAGCATGGTAGAATATAGCTGCTAAATATATATTGCATTTTTAATTTAGCAAAATATTTTATTATAGTAAAACTTACATAATTATTTTAATATAGGTAGGTACTTTATCATTAATATAATCTTGTATATAATAACTTGTACTAAGAATACTGTAATAACTTATACTAAGAAGTTAGTGTTTTCACCATTTCTTTTTCCGATACTAAGTAAACATAATAATTAGACACAAATATATACAGGGCGTCCCACGGCTACCTCACACGGAGGGAAAGTATATTAAATATTGAAGATAGGATATTTTACTGAAACAAGACATCATTTTGTTTCCCAGTTGAAGCAGGCGATTTTAAAAAATCTGTGAATGCAGTTCTGGTTATTATTAAAAATAAAACGATGTTTTCTTTCAGTAAAATATCCTATCTTCAATATTTACTACTTTCTCTCCGTGTGAGGTAGCCGTGGGACGCCCTGTATATATATATATATATATATATATATACTAGAACAATGAACCTCAAACTAAAAACCTTAAGAAAATATAATATAATAGCTAAAATATAATGTTAAAAGGAGTCCCTTTAGGCAAGGTTCCAAAGATACTGGCAAAGTTCCCCCTTTGATTAGTCCTATTGTTTATGATATCTTATACAAGTGTTACTAAATAATAATAAAATATAAAGAAGTTACCAGCATGTTGATTCATTTATTTATTTTTAGGGTTCCGCACCTCAAGAGTACAGCCGTCTGTCAAGAACATTTATCTCGTGAACGCGTAGAGGTATTGAGTTGAAAGGACATTGGGCAAAAATGTATGGACCCTGCACCCACGTCCACCACAGATTAAACTACATTTGTTTGAAAGGTATTATAGTCATGATCATCTGTGCCTAAGCGCATCAAATTCCATCCCGGGGTCTTTAGTTATTTTAAGTTCAATAGGTACAAGTACTATAACGAACGAACATTTATATAAAACAAGGGAATTAATTTAGTTAGTTATCGAACCTACATAGGGGGCTCAGGTATTATGGGAGGACTTCACAAAGTGCAAGGGGCTCCCCCTTATGTTATTCTGCCGCGCTAGAGTAAATCCAAAAATCCCCGCATAGGTTGGTGTTTTTTCAAACATTTTGTTCGTTATAATAAATTGTCTTCTATGTAAAACGGAGCGACCACAAATCACACAAACTTGTCCACGCTTCGGAGAAAACATGATTCCAGTTCATCCATACTAATTGACAAAACCGATAATGGTGTTCCAATGTTCAAAGCGTGTTAGATAAAAATCAATCAAGTGACAGGGAGCATACAATCAGAACGAAGTAAGACGAGTCGACTATTTGCAACTGCAAGTGCTTCAACCCCCGTAAACCGTTTTGAGGTGTCTCAGTAAATGCAGGCGCAGGATGGTCGGCAGGCGTTGTCATATAACTGATTGTATAGTACGATATGGCATATTATTATGATTACTTCTTCTTCTTCTTCCATGGCCTCTTCAATCCTGAAGGTTGGCCGTTAGCTTCCTGTATGTATTTCTATCAGCAGCCAGCCGGAACAGCTGTTCGACAGAGTCAATACCAGTCCACTCCTGGATATTCCGGAGCCATGACTTCTTTCTTCGCCCAGCACGTCGCTTTCCGTCCACTTTGCCCATCATTATCAAGGAGAACAACCATTTTGGTAATGATCTTGTACAAATAAAACTTTTTGATAACAAGTATTTTTTAAGGTAGTGGTGAAACTCGAAAAATAGTATAAAACCTTAAACGTATAAAGGAACGTAAAATAGGTGCTACTGTATTCTCAACAATTAATTCAACTAATCGAATAATTCAATGTTTTATTGAAGTACTGTATAAATTGCTCAACTAACTGATGTATTTAACGTTAATAAATTGAAAGAATAAAATCACGTATCAATTGGAGTTTACTCCAAATCTAAGATAAAATATTATTTTATTAATAAAATATAACATCAATTACCTATTCGATTTTTTAAATGGTCTCGTAACGGCACATAACATCTCAAAATGACAGTGTCTGTCAGTGGTCTGACATTGATACGAATATTTTTTTTTGTTTTTGGGTTTTATTGATGCTTTCTTTGATTTTGTGATTTGTGATCATTTTCTACATATAAACATGTCCGAATTTACAATGACTTACTGTTAAGATGTCAGAATTTTATTAGGCATAATTACCTTGGGCAAAATTGTACTCTGCATAATTTAGTTAAGCATAATCAGTGTAGGTGGTCAGTGTGTTAGGTTAGGTTAGGTTAGTGTAGTGAATGTGGTTGCTTCCCAATAAGGATCCCACATCGACACATCCGGCGGTGCCGGCACACCCCAGGGTTTTAGTGGGTATGCCAGTGTGGAGAGTTCCACATAACCCTGTTGCCCACCCAGTAGCAGGGTATGGGCAAAGCAATTCCCTGGGCAAAAAAAAAGGTTAGTGTAGTGACCTAAACTAGCCACCTGATGTATAGATAAATAAAACTTGCAAAAAGAAAGACTATTCTGACTGTAAACTTTCTGCGATATGATGATCATCCTTTTTAATATTGTGGAAAAATTATCCGTTTGAATGACTGAAATAATGCCAAATAATGTTTTGCGAAATCAAGTTGATGCCATCCGCTGATATGCAAAATAATATTAAAGTTCTGCGATAACAAGGTAGACTTTGTGATTATAATAACGCTGGTTTAAACTCAAATAGAAAATAAACTTGCACTTTTTTCTTTCAGTTTCTTTCGATTCGATTTAGTTTCAGTTTTACATAAATTACTTCTAATAAATATATAGATATTAAACTCACATCACACTGCGTTCAAAGTGGCGCCAGCCCTGACAGTAAAACTGTTTTGCCTTTAGTTTGTAGAACTAATGGAACTGCTATAGATCGACAATGCGTCATATTATCTATTAGACACGGTAAACGATATGCTAGACGACAGATCAGGATTACCGATAATGCTGTTAATAATTTTCAAAAGAAAATACCTACACCTATTTGTTCATCGAAGAAAAAATCAGGTTAACGCCACTGTTGTTGCTTTTGCTCTGACCTACCTTTCCACCTATCCCATGAATCAAAATGAGCTCAAAATCCGATCAAGTGCGTAAAATTCCTAGTTGTCCATCACAAAAGCGAAAGTCGCAAACTTATAGAGGTACTCGTAGCATTTCGGGCAACATTTTTAAATATCTATTCATGACACACTACACCAAAGAAAATTTTCATCCAAAAATCCATCTAGACAATAGACGGGTCGTGTTTTTTTTCTAGTATAAAAAAATATTTAGATTCATCTTTCATCATTCAGCTGGGAGTTAAATGCTTTAAAACTAAGTAAGTAACTAAGTAGTAAGAAAAAATAACAGCCCCAATTCACGTGTGAAGGAGGTGCCCTGAAAAGCAGGGCTTGTTTACCGGTTAATTTTCCTAAATCAGTGTTAAGTACATTAGGAGCGTTTTATTTAGGTTTGGCTCTACCTGAACCTTAAAAAAAACGGTTTTCCTAAAAAGCGAAAACAAATAGGTTCTGAATCAAT